GGGTTTCTCATTGTTTAGAGGACATGACTGACCACTTTAGTGCTGAAGAAATTAGTTTTGTCGGACAACACCAGCAGCTGGAAGTGATGCAAAAACTTTTTCTTTTCTAGAAGCTTTGCAGATGGCTCATCCTGGTGTCTCCCCTTCTGTCTCCATGGTTTGATACAAATTCAGGGAGACAGAGCAATTGTACTCATGGAGAAAGTGAGTATCAGTGACCAACACAGTCCCTGACTACAAGCCTATCACAAGCAGGTAAATGAGTTGGTAAAAGCTGCTGAGGCAGGAATTAAAAGTTTGTCTTTTAAGACTTATTGTGCTTTTTCATCCCTTAGGAGCTGCTAGAAGAGGTTTCACAAGTCCCAAGATGTCCTTGCTACTGATGAAACAAAATAACCTCTCTAGGGAAAAGATGCTAAGTTCCTTTGCTGGAAAGGAAGGAAAGAAGTCTTCCGGCAATTTGGAAAGACTGGTAGGGTGGAAAGATTTTTTTGATGCCCTAGAGGAGAATTAAAGTCTCGGTCTGCTTAATCCAACAAGAGAGAATGAGAAAGAAGGTTTTTCTCATAATACTGCTAAGCACTATGAATGGACATGAGCTACAGAAGTGCAAAAGGATGCAAAAATAACGAGATGTAAACTGGCAGTGAACAAAGCTTATGCTGGAAATTAAAAGAAGTTTCTATCCTTCACATGGGTAATGTTTGTGCTGAGGCCAGTAAGTTCCATTTCCCTCAGTGATTTTTAAATGGTATCATTAAAGCAAAGGGAGGATGTGGCATGAATGGGGCTGGGAGGAGAGCACCATGTCACTTGCAACTTTCTCTGCCATCCTTGTGCTAGGACAGGTCAGTGCATCTTCATCTTACTTCAGTATCGTGTATGCTGCTGTGTTATGATCAGCATAGTCACTTGTGCTTCCTAAAACCATCTCAGTTTTCAGGCTGACTATCTACCTTTCCTCCAGGTCTCAGAAACCATCTTACACCAGAGACAGTTACTTCCAAGGGCAGAAGAAATTCTAAACCAGTCCAGATTATTGTGTCCTTCCATCCCATTACAAAGACGCCAACAGACCTCCCAGTGTAATTCTGCACTCATCCCTTGAGACACCCAGCTCATTGCTTCCTCAAGACAAACTAAGCCATGGCAGAGCTGAGCCTCTCTTTCCACCACCATAGCCCTGCACCAGTAAGGGTCTCTAGTTTCCCGAAGCATTTCCTATAAGGTTGTTTTTCCCTTCTCAGCCCATCAATCCAGCTTGTTCAAATCCTCAGCTTCAGCTGAAGGCAGCCCCAAGGGTTCAGGCAACAAATCCCTCATCAAAATACAGACTTCTCTCTGAGGGACATGTGTTGGGAGAGATGGTGCTAAATGCTGCCTTCATCCACTGCCTTCCCAGGGCTGTGCTTGAGCAAGGATGCAGAGAACATACCACCACCATGAAATAAGAACTCTGAGAAGATGAGACATGTGGTGTCAATTCACCATCTAAGTAGAAGTTACCAGTGCCTCATTGAAGTGCACTGAGTGGCAAGTTCCTCTAAAATCAATCGCAATAGGATGTATACCTATCAGATATAGGTCAGAAAATCTGATTTACTTCTCTGCATGTGCATACCATATATCACAGACCATCTTTGCCCATTGTCTAAGACTAGAGTGTAAAATATTCCAGGCAGGGTGTGCGTCTCAGTTCCTGAGGTGTCTGAAGGTTACTGTTGTAGGGTACCCATTCATCTCACCATTGCTTGGACTGTCATGAACACTGCCTTACAGTAACACCATCCTACAGAGTAGTTACAGCAGCACAGATTACTGTAGTTTTAGAACAGATGTGCCTTGCAACTCTCCTTAGACCTTGAGGGTTGAAGTCTCGGGGCATGGAAATGTAGTCATTATCAGAAACCAATATGATATTCAGGATGGAGTAAGCAAATTCTCTGTTTGATGACTTTGCTGTGGGACTTGCCTTTTGAAGCCCGGGCACAGAGTGCTTTCCGAAAGGGCTGCATCACATACATCTCTTATTTTGTTTTTTCTTCATTTCTGCTTCCCCATCTGAGCCTTGTCAGAAATCCCAGGTTGTTTTGGTGGGAGAGGAAAGGAAAGGCATATTTTGGCCATGTCTGCTCACTTGCTCAGACTGCATCCCCAGGATGTAATGAAGGCTATTCTCTCCTGCCTGCTACTTTTCCCTTGCCTCCTCCCTCCTTTCTTTCTCCCCCAGACTCAATTCCAATTTCTGTGAAAGTGGTACATGCATGTGGAGAACACATTAAAATCATCTGTGAGGCTGCTTGGCAGCTGGATAAATGCAAACATGGTCTTGAGGTGTTTATCTAGGGGTATGGAATATAAATCAGCCCAACTTATTCTGGCACCATGCAAGGCACCAGGGAGACCACATTTGGAATATGGTGTGCAATTGTGGTCACTCTATTACGGGAAGGACATTTGGAGGATTGGAAACAGGCAGGGAGAAGCAACTGAAAAAATGACCCAGCATTTTGGGACAGGAAGGGGAGAAAGGGAGGCTTGGAGGACCAGTGGCTCTGTATAGGGGTATTTGGTGTTGCAGATGCATTGGCTGTCAGAGCATGTGTGTATGAGCACCTGCACACACATATGTATAGGTGTGTGGTGTTGTTGACCTGTGCTGTGCAACTGGGGGGAGGATATGTTATTCTGGGGAAAGATGCTCCCATGCATCCAAGGGCATTTGCGTGGGTAGCTGGGGACATACAGTGGAGTTGTGTGCAGTGTGTCCTGTGCCAGTGCACGCAGCTCTAAACTTCTCTCTGCGTATGGGTTCTGTGTGCTGACCTGCTGAGGGGAGGGTAAGGAGAGAGAGGGGATGGAGGGACGGAGGGATGATGGATGATAGGTGGATACAGGTTCTGCTTATTACTACTCAGAGACCTTTGCTGGTCTGTGTAGCAGTGCTCAGTGGGCAGAACACCCCTTGCATGATCAGCCGTTACAGGGGAAATCTCCCGAGACCTGTTCCTCCTTTGCATTGCAAGACTTATATGGCTACCTAGTAGGCATTTCTTAATGGGATTGGAAGTCCTTGACCTATAAACCTTTGCAGGTAGAGGCCAGCTGTTGGTAGTTTCTATCTCTTGCTAGCTCTAATTCAAGCATGACTGGCAAGCAGCCATCTGTGAAGAGCTGCAAGGCCTTGAAAGTCATCATAGTCTTCTGTCTTGAATGGTAGCTGTGGTAGATGGGTTGGATGGAAGAAGACATCTCTCTGTAGGGTTCCGTGCTTCTTTGATTCATCCTAGAACCACAGATGCCATGAATCTGAACTTCCCCCTCACAGTCTTGTCTGTTTTACTATCCGGAAAGGTCTCCTGGTCCGTGCTGTCCCCCACACAGTGTCCAATGGAGCAGTGACGGCTGTCCCAGGCCAAAGCTGTGCTGGAAGCGTGCTAACAAGGGGTGGTTTGATGTTTGCATGACAGAATTTAGGCCAATGTTCTGGCCCTACACCGTAGAGCCACAAGGACTGAGAGAAAAAAACAGGGTAGAAAGAGAAGGAAAAAAAGCCCTCCAAAACCTACCAAAACAAAACAAAAAACAATAGCAGAAACAAGATAGAAAGAGCAGGAAGAGATATGGTTTTATAGTGGTCTGGGTGTTTAGGGCAAATCCTGAGTGCCCTGGATGCCTTTGTCCCCCTTAACTTCTAAGCCACCTGAGGCTACTCAGAACCCCTGAGGAGACCCTGGCAGGCTGGATGATCAGGGGGTGGTGCTTGAGCCTCTGGAGAGAAAACCAGGAGCAGATCCTCTGCTTCTGCAAGCCCAAAGAGAGCCTGGGCTTGGGTATAGGTCCTTTAGGGACAATTAAGCCATAAACTCAGTTGCACAACCCATGTACCTTAGGTAAATACACACAGCTTCTCAACTAAAAATAAAACCCTCTCCCTAGCAAATAGGTTTATTTACTATAAAAACAAGGCATCTTGAAGCAAGCTGGAACACCTAGGACTCTGAGAAAGGATTGCTAATGGCCTTTACTAATAACAGGTTTGTGTAAAAATCTTTCTTCCCCCACAAAATGTCCCATCTCCTTTTCCAAACCAGGGAAAGACAGGCTTTTAATTCATGGGTGAAAAAAAAGGAAAAGAAAAAAGAAAAAGAAAGCAGGTCTGATGGCATATGGCTGGGAATTTCACTTCATCCCCTTCCAGGTTTAACTTTGGGGTGGCATCAGGCTGCCCACTATGCCTGAAATGTAATATTTGTGTACATAGAAAAGAAATTTTAGGGTTTCCTGTTCTTTCCAAAAGGCTTTCATCTAGAGACTAAATTTAAAGAAAAAAAGAGGAGAAAAAAAGAGGAAAGAAAAGAGGAAAGGAAGCCAAATGCTTGTGGGGACAGGTTTGAGTTGGTTTTGGTGTGTTTTTTTTTTGTTTTAATATTTTGGGTCTGTGTCCCTCACTGCCTTAGCCAAAAGCAGCAGATGACGCACATATCCTGAGAGAGGGGTGCATGGAATCACACCGGAGTGGCTCAGCCCTGTCTCCCCATGGCACAGGTTCGTGTGGGGCTGTACCCATGCCATCCCATGGATCAGAGTCCATGGCAGGTTCTTAGGCTCAGGGATACGCCTGGGAGGTGGGCAGGGGACAGATGACACTGTCTACATAATCTATGGTAGGGGTACAAGAGGAAGCTCACCCTCCGTTAGCTAGTCTAAAGCGAAAAGTTAACCTTTTTAAAGGGAGAAAAAAAAAAAGAAAAAAAAAGGAATTCTGAATCTTTACACAGGAACAGGAATTCATTATTGCTAAAGAAAAGTTTAGAATTGTATTAAATTTTTATGTTTTTATTTGCTAGGACTTTCTTTTGGACTACCAACACTGCTACGAATCATACATATAGTAACCACATGTTTCCACTCTCCAAAAACACTTGGCATGTCTATTACTCACTCTGATGCTCCTTAGTCCCTAATTCAGCTCTTGAGATGCATCTCAGACACATATCTAAATAAATTGCATCTGGTTTATTTCAAGTGAACAAAATATGCTGAACCATAATAGCAGATAAGATATCTGAATACTACTTTTGACAGCTAATTGCATAGGGCAGGAATCAAATGAAAGTTAAACACATGACAGTGAACATTCTTTCCAGACTCTGGAAACCTCCTTCCAATAAACGTCTCTTTCCAGTCTCTACAGGGTGGGTGGACAGCACTACACTCTCCATACTCCCAATCAACTCTATTTTTTCTTCACAATATGCAGTTCTAGTTTTATTATATTTTTATATTTATTTATTATACTGGGTATTATGGCCATTTTTAGTAGCTGGAGGTACATTAAAGATCAGCTCTATGGCACAAAGACAAAGCCAGTGTTGGTCAAGCTTGTGAAGGTGCAGGCTGATCAGCAGAACAACATAACCACTCCCTGGCCACTCTGGTAGGAACTGCGCTGGAAACAGCTGTCTTTTGGCACTGCACTCTGAGGGACATGGCACTTGCTAATAATTGTGCAGGCTGAGGAAAATTGTGGACTTTATAAAACTGAGAAAGTTAAAACCAGCAAAGGGAAAAGGACAACGCTAAGTGGAACAGATGGGAGACCAAGGTCTTCCTGCTTCCAGAGGATGGTGGAGCTTTATTCAAAGTACTTATCTCTTCTGGGCTGGCTGCTTCCTGGTGAAGAGTTCATGAAGTCCATGCACAGCCAGGATCACATTTTCCACTCAAATAACCAGTTCTAGTGCATGTTCTATGCCAAATCCAAGTCTGTGACGGAAGAATGATGTACAGAAACCTCCTCAAAATCTCATTTCCCCTCTTGGGGGCAAGGAGGGTTTCTGTACACACAGGTCCCTCCCATGGTGTGTCTTCTTGTGTTAATCTGTGTAGCCATTTCTAGTCTGTGATTGCCAAGTAAAAGCATTAGGAGTTGGTAGCTGCAAGGCAGAAGAGTGAACAGCAAATAACAGTACAAAAATGGAGGTTCAGTGCTGATCCAGGCTACCTCATTCATTAAGGCCCATGGATATGTCTGAAATTTTAATTTTCCCTTTGTAAAATAGTGGTTGAATGAATAGGGGGTGGAGAGGGAGGAAGGGAAGGAGAAATAAGTTGCAGAGCTGAACTGTGTGAGAAATCAGTGAATCTGAGATAAATCAATGCCCTCACTAAACTCAATAGGAATCTGCCAGTTCATACCAGGAAAAGAAGTGGTCCATGAAATGTACTCAGCAATGAGATGTACAAAAGAGGAAGAGAACCCAGGTACCCACTGCATTGCAGGAAATTTCTAATGCACTTTCCTTATTTCAAAACAAACCTGGAGGCTTTAAAGTGAGAACGATGATGAAAGTTTTGAGTTTCAGTCAAGTGGGATTTATCCAAAGATTTTTGTCAGTTTCTGTCCACCTGGATTTGAATCTTTGTAGCCTCACCTTGAATTCCAGGACAAAAGGAAATGTGGTTTGTGGCTTGTGCCCTGGCTGAAGAGGAAGTAGATGAGCATCCAAATCTTGGATCTGCCACAGACTCTCCTTTGAGATTGGAGGCGAGGCGTTGAATATCCCTGTGTGTCAGATCCCAAGAATGAGGTCACAAGCCCTAACAGGCTTTCATGCCAGCTTACATGATATTTCTATCTAAAAACATAAAAAAATAATAATCAAGGTGTCCCAAATTCCCTCACAGCTTCCTAAAACACAGATCAATTAGCCATGGAATGGAATAAATCATCACACTGGGCTGCGATCACACCCAGGCAGAGGCAGGATCCAAGCAGCCCTCTGCCAGGTGGTATCTGGCAACTTCTGATGAACAGGAATAGACATGGGTGAGTGCAGGACAAGATCTGATTGCACTAAGTGGATTCATACACCCCTTGAGGTAAAGTGGGCCTGCATGGGAGCAAGGAGAGGAGGCAATGGGAAATAAATCTGTTTGGCTTTTCAAAACCTCTTGATATTCATTCAGCATGTAATGCTCAATGCAGTACTGCTAACACCAACACCTTTCTTTCCTGGCACTGCTCCTTTCCCTGTGATGGCTCTGTTGATGTGGCTGCATTATGATCCAGATCAGGAAGCCTCCTCCAAGAAGGCTGCTTCTCAGGTCAGTCAGTTGCACCACTGGCCCGCTCATACTTGCATGCTAAAGGGAGTCTGAAATAGCAAATGAAGGCATTCTTCTTGATGATAAGAAAACTGACCTCTGTGTACACACACAGGTCCTCAGCACCTCTCTTAGCATAACCTGAGTTCTGCTTAGTCCCTGTTAGACATACTGTCTTAACCATACCGGCTTATACTGAAGTCACTCCTTTCATTTGTCATCAAGATGCCCTGCAGAACCAGTTCAAGACATGACATGCAGTTAGGAGTCCATGGGACTCCATTTTCCTTTTGTCTGAGAGGAGAGACATTACTGCTGCCCCTTCACCCCTTCCATCTGGCTGCCTTTGAGCTGGCAGAACAGTGCTTTATTCAGTCTTGTTCAAATCCAGGTATGAACTCAAAGTGTTGATGAGAGCAGGTTTGCAGGAAGAGGTCCCCAGAAGGCTCGAGGAGAAGCAGAGGCTGTCTGCAGACATGCACGTGCCTATTTCTCATAGTTTAAGAGAGCCATGAGAGGAAAGTATGCATGCGTGCCCATAGCAATGGATGTGTCTCTCAAAGTCCTCTTCTGACTATCCACAAGCCGTAACACTGAACACTGAGGGGTGCAGGACAAAACCCCAGAGCAGAGGCATGAAACACAGATCTCAGGCTGAACAAATGTCTTCACTTGTTGCAGAGCTTGCATAAGTGTTCAACACAAAGCAACTCTAAAACAGCCACGGCGCAAAGGCCTCTTTTCCTGTAACCTCTGTGGTTAAGAGCTTTCCTGGAGAGATAGGACTCTCGACTCCAAAGCACTCCTTGTTGACTTGGGCCAGGGGTTTTAGGCAGGAGTTTTCTCCTTTCCCAAACATCCTACACCGCTGGGCTGTACACAGAGTTGTCCCAGATTTAAAGTTGCTCCATGTTGAAGGCTGCTACAGTAGTCCCAGAAGATACTGGCTCTACAAGCAGATTCTGAGGCTGGGCAGCTGAGATACAGTTCTTGCACAAGTGCTTTTTGGTACTTTCAGACATAGGGAAGCAGAACTAATGGAAGGGAATTCAATCTCCTTTTTTACGTTTGACATGCTAGGCAGTAAATTATTGTTTCTGGGAAATAACAATATATATTTAGATTCCCCCAAGCAGAGCTGAATGTGAGTATTTTCCCTCACCAGAAACGATTATGTAAGAAAGGCTGGACAAGTCTCTTCTTTTGATGACTGTGTGATGAGCTTTCCTTATGATCTTCCCAAAACTACTGCCTCACTGTGGGCTTGTCCTTTTTCCTTCTTTGGAATGACAAACCAAGCACAGACTTGAACATGCAAGATGACTGGATACAACATCACAGAATCGTGACAGCTGGAAGGACCTCTGGAGATCATCTAGCCCAACCCCTCAGAAAATATTAAAAAAAAACAAACAAACCAACCAGAAAAAATGGAAAAAAAAAAAAAGAGACATAACATGTGAAGACCTGTGAAGTTCCTTTTCCAATGTAAAAGACAGATGAATTACCCAGACCTCCCCTTCTCTCCTTGTCCAGCTCTGCACCTGCTGCATTCTAGTTAGGCTCTCACCAACCTTTGATAACTGAACCTTGAAGTCTACAGGGAGGAAACAATCCCTCCAAGGAGCCTCCATGTTGTTAGCTTGTGATCATACATCCCCTGGGCAGGACTAATTCAAGGCCACACTTGAAATACTGTGTTCACTTCTGGACCCTCACAACAAGGAAGACATTGAGGTGCTGGAACATATCCGATAAAGGGCAAGGAAGCTGGTGAAGGATGTGGAGCACAAATGTGATGAGGAATGGCTGAGGGAACTGGGGCTGTTTAATCTGGAGAAAAGGAGGCTCAGGGGAGACCTCATCACTCTCTACAGCTACCTGAAGGGAGGTTGTAGTGAGGTGGGGATCAGTCTCTTCTCCCAGGTTACAAGCGACAGGACAAGAGGAAGTGGCCTCAAGTTGTGCCAGGGGAGGTTTGTGTTTGATATTAGGGACATTTTACTCCCTGAAAGGGTTGGCAAGCATCAGAACAGTCTGTCCAGGGCAGTGGTGGGGTCACCACCCTGGAGGAATTTAAGAGAAGCATAGATGTGGTGCTTAGGGACATGTTTTAGTGGTGGACTTGGCAGTGCCAGGTTAATGGTTGGTGCTGATGATCTTAGACGTCTTTTCCAACCTAAATGATTCTGTGATTCTGTTGTTTCAGGCCAAGGGGTGCACTGCTCCCTATGAGCTGTCAAGACAGGAAGGAGCATAGCTACATACTATCCAGAAGATCTTTCAAGGAGACAAGGCCCTTTGTGCCTCTCACATGGAGACCATCAGTCTCATTGCCAATAGGTAGACTTGTTACAGATATAGTAGAACATCAATGCCATAGGCTGCCACTATTATTAAACTGAGGGTCAAATGAACCTGGGCACAGCTCCCGGCCTGCAGAATCCCTTCTTTTCCTTCCAGGAAAGGCTAGGTCTTGCAGATCCAAAATACAAATACATTGTGAGGGACAGCTGTGTCCTACCCCACTAGAAATCCAAAGACAAGACAGATAGGGGACCTGGTGGTGTAAAACACAGCTCAAGTTCTCCGTGGCAGTTAGAAGAGTCCTCCTGCCACCCAAATGGGTGCTCTTTAGAAACACTCCAAGTGATATCACAGGACACTGAAAGCTTGGGGTGGCTGCCCAAGGTTTATATTGCTCCAAGTAGCAACAACTTGGCCCCCATAAATATTGTCTGCAGGTGGGGGCTGGTGCATCTTATTTGTAAAGACAATGTTGCTCTTAATAGGCTTTTTCTTTTGGGTCTGTACCAAGGGAAGAGGCAATAGGATGAGGTCCTCCATCTGGCTGAGAAGGGCAGACCCATATGTCCCTGGATGATTAACACAAATCAAAACCAGGCCCCAGTTTCCATACCATCAAAGGAGGAAAAGACTGGACCTAATCACTTTTCACCCTGGGCTCTGAAGCCTTTGTGCAAAAACAAAGCTTCTGAGCCTTAGCCAGACAATTAATTACATTAAAGCTAACACAGTACAGATTAAAGCTTTTTGTTCTGTCACTCCCCACCCCACAAGAGGATCTAAAACTATCCATCTCCTTTGACTCCTGCAGCATGAAAGAGCAGATACACCTCAAAATGATCAAGTTAGTCTGTTCTCAAATATCCATATAACATTATCATTTCATGTATCCAAAGGCATCTGTAGCTTAAAAATCAGTGGATGACAGCTCTTCTGCATAGTGGGAAGATCATTTGCAAATTGCAGAATCCTCTGTCTGTGATAGCCAACTCTAGACCACCTCAGAAATGGTCTGGCAACTTGATACCTTGTTTGTGAAGTACCAGAGTGAATTTTGGGGGTGTTGCAGAGGCGCTGCCACTGAAGATTCTTTCACAACATCTTAAACTGTTTCTGGGGAAAGGCTTAATGAGAATTCATTGTGCCTTTGGATTAGCAGACCACTTACAGATGAATTCGATCTAACTACTTTGATGTAAAGCTAATGATTGCTTTGACTCTTTAAAGCTGTATTACTGCTGTGATTATTGACATCAAGGTGATTCCTGCTCTTGGCTGTGCTCTTTGGGATTAGGCAGAGATTTGCAACAGAGAATGCATCAATGAGCCTGAGTTCTATTGCCTGAGCAGCTCAGAATAGCTTTTTCCAAAGCCATGACTTGGGTTCATGAGATATCTAAATAAAAATATATTAGATTTCTTTCTGTTCCAGTCAAAGGCAGAGCTAATGCCGGCCTCAATCACAGAACCAGGTCTCAAAACAGGAACAAAGGCATATTTGCAAAGCCCAGTGCTATGATTCCTCTGCTCTACCAAACTTGACCATGGTAAAGAGCCCGAAGTCTGCTTGTCAGTCACATGCATCTCCCCAACCCTACCAAAACCGCTCATGACAATTAAGAAGATAAATGCTAAAGGCTAACAGTCATATAGAAAAGAATTAGAAAATAGGGTGTGAGAGCAAGACCAGCTGGTGGACATCACCAGATGCCAAGGTAGGTAGGTGGTCTATAGTACAACAGAAGGAAATGCCTTTGCACATATGTTTTTTAATGAGGTGTTAATTGGGCATTGGGTGGACAGGACAAAGAAGCAACTGAGGATGTGGCTTGAGGTTTTGGTTGATGCAAAGCAGGAGGCCTGGAATAAAATGAAAGCTGGGCTTTTATGGCCTCTTGCTGTCCTTTTGTCATTTGCAACAGGAGAGGGACACCAGGTGGGCAGGCAACTCTGCTCTGAAATCACAGCTAGCTTTAGGAAACCCTCCTTCTGCTGGTGGTGTCTCTAAGTACTCCCAGAGAGCTGGCTGTAGAAAAGAGATCTCTAAGATGCAACAGTGGAAGTGGGAAACACTCTAGCTTGTCTTCGTCAGCCAGGCAACAGAGGGAGATGGGACAGCATGCCCACCCAGGAGCAGCTGAGTGGGTGCAGGATGGCTCAGCACACAGACCTGGTGCCAATAATTAGCACATCTGAAATTGATGAAAGAACCCAATAGGAGATGATTACTTTGCTACCCACATGAGAGAGCTTTCTCCCTTCCTTCTCCCTCCAGCTTTACATCTGGTAACGATTTTGCAGCTCAAAATAGAAAGGAAGTGGGAGAAAATGGCTTAGCCGAGCTTAGGCCTATTTGAGGAGAATAGAGAGAGTATGTCAGAGGGAAACAAAGAAGTGTTGTTGGAAGAATGCTTTGTGTCCCGTACCACTGGTGTCACACTGCAAAGGATCTTGGGAGAACTGATGGTGGACGCTATCTCCCATACTCTGCCTGGTGATGGTAAGTGGGCTGTGGGTATAGCAATAAGGGCTGTAAACCCATGACTAAGACTCTTTCACCCTCCTGACCCCTTGGCATCTGGAGCTCTGGAGGAGAAGAAAGAGGCTGTGACAGTTTTGTTTCACAACACCTTGTGTTAAAGATAGCCTAACCTGAAAAAAATATATTGAGCCTTCTTCAGCTACCTACCTATATGCTCTGTGTGTGGGACTAAGGGGAAGGGCTGCATTTGAGCAGAGAGGAGCCTGGGCCCAGCCCCAGCCATGCAGTCTGAATTGCTGTGGGAACACTCACCATGCACCTTGGGGACCTTGGCTTTGAGGTGTCGTTCACACTTAGCCTTGGCTTTTAGCAGTAGGAAGATCTGCTCCTCTTTGGTAATGACATCATCAGCATCCACCTGCAGTGATGGGGAGAAATGAGGTCAAACCTCAGCATGTGAAGAGCAGCAGGACACAAACTTTTTAGATAATGCAAATGACCTGAATGCATAACCTCCTTTGCATCAGCAGTTCCCTCCACCAGCCTTACTCTATGTGTATCTCTGTTTGCTCAGCCGTCAGTGTCCCAAGCAACACCTCTTACAAGATGCCACATGGAATCATCCGTGTACATGGCAAAGGAAGCACACGCTGCAATTATTCACATCATACACATGCATACACAAGAAACCAGCAATTTCTGGGCTGGCATGCCCCAGCTTGCAGGGACAAGACTACTGTCTAAGAGGGAAAAATATCCTAGTAAATAATATTGTAGCAAGGACTCCTTTCTTCCTCTTAAAAATTGCAACCTGCCACCATCAATGCAGCGCTATTTCCATCTCTGCATGCAGGCAGGCCTTCAACCTCTGTAAGTCCAAGAACATGTGCAGAGAGGGCTGTCCCAGGCAGGCCTGTGAGCTGACAGCAGCTGCCCCCCAAAGACGGAGGCTCTGAGAAAACCGTGTGCACCATCCTGGGAGAATTAAGTTTCTCATCCTGTAAGATCTCTAGAGGGCAAGGAACAAGAAAAGGGGGGGCAGGTAGGGTCCTGTTTTACCCCCCTCTGTTTGTTTCTCCCTGATATGAGATATACTTGGCTCTCAAAGGCACTCACTGCTCATCAAAAAAGAGAAAAACAATCTTGCTTCATAAGGCTGGCACGTTCCCATCAGGAATGGCTGGCCTCAGTAATCTGGGGCCACCACCATGGGGAAGGCTTGTTCTACAAATGTTATAGAGTATAGAGCTTTGATCTAATGCAATATGGCTGCTTTAATTTTCTGCTGTGCTTCTTGGGCACTTAGCCTGTATGTCCTGCTCAGGAATCCATGACGGGTCCCACTGCCAGATAGAACCTGAGATTAGGAAGACTTCTTGCATGTCACTTTGTCAGGAATGCATGAACATTTCACTGTACCCATCCCAGGTACACTGAGGTGATACTGCCTTTGTTCTTTTCTGCTTCCCCACCCTCCCCTAAAAAAGCTGTATACTTAACCTTCTCCCACATTCATTTTTTGCCCTAGATTTCCATCACCACCAGAATGGGTGATGCTGATCATACCCTGCAGGTGCTTTGTGATTTGCATCATGTAAGGGAGTGAGGAAAGTTGGGGGCTATATTGATCTAGTGTCAATCCTCCTTTTCAGGCTCTGACCTTCAGCACCTGACCACCCCTGTGAAACCTTTGAGGTTTGTGTCCATCCCTGGAACTCTGCCAGTCATGGCAGAGTGTCTCTGGGAGAAATCCTCATACACAAGATTGCCCCAAAACACTTCAAAGCAAAGAATAACCATGTGTAACACTTTGTAGGGCTCCTGAATTAAGGATGTTGATAACGCACTATGACCACTCTTCTCATTGCCTCGGTTTCCCTAATACGTGTCTGGTTTGATTAATCAGGCTATACATGCAATGAGAGGAGATGTTGCCTCTGGATTTGTAGAGAATTTAGCACACTCACTCACAAAAGCATAACGTAAGCAAGGGCTGCAATACTGGTTTATAGAAAGCAACTTTTATTTTTCTTTTATTTTCTTATATTGACTGTGCTGGCGGGACTGGCCACTGTAAATGTGCAATGCAAAACCTAGGGTAGTGCTTCACATCCTGATGGATGAAGCAGACTTAAACCTCAATGCATAGTACAGGCAGGCAAAGGAAAGATTACAAAACCTTGTGTAGACAGCTGTGATCTATAGATGAGAGGGAAACCTGTTGATGGGTTGTAGAGCCTGCTTATGGAGCTGGCTGCTCATTTCAATTCCTCTGAAGGAAGACTTGAAGGGGGGTTATGACATTTTGCTGTACTCCCCCAGAATGCTGCTATTCAGAACTAAGGTCACTTCACTCAAGTTAATTCGTTTTGGAAAGCAAGTAAGATAAACCAGCTGAAGGCAAAGCAGTTCTCGAGCAAGACTTATTACAAATGACATAAGGAGGGTTAATGAAATCCAGCTTAGAAGTAAACTCAGATACAATTTCCCAGAGTGCTCCTATGGAGAGGGACAGTGTATGTTTAAGCAGCTGGTGCAGCAGTGGACACACAGATGGAGAGCTAGATCTGATAAGGGGACTCCGAGTAAAACAGAAGTTAGTTTTTCATGTCCCTGGAAAAAATCCACACTAAAAATCCTCCAGAAGTGGGAGTTGGTTTCAGAACTGCATTAACATTAATCCAAAACAAAGCCATCCTTTTCCAGATGTTTGGCCTGTCCATATTTAAGGCAACATCCCACATTTAAACTCTTATTAGAAACATGAAGCCTCTGGGTCAAATTCTGCTGTCATTTATATCTGCACAAACCTTGAGTGATTCCACCAAAGCTGGGGGAGTTATAGTCTGGATTTACAGTGGCCAGAGTAGAATCTGACCTTAGGCATTTCAAATGATTCATCCTTTGCATGCTTAATCCTCCGGCTCCTTTGGCTGTGCTTTGAGAGTAGGGCCGCTCCCAGCCAGAAGGACATATGGTCTCCAGGCCAGGACAGAAAATAAGTTTTACTTCCCAGAAAGGGAGATAAAGTCACCGAGCACTGTCGGAACTGGGCAGAATGGCCGGGCCAGAGCTCTGAACCCAATCCTCAGGACCCAAAGGCTCCTCAGCTTTCCTGAGCCCTGGTTACTAGTCTTAAATTTAGAAAACCTGCCAGACCCTTAAAAAAAACAACAAAACCAAACACAACTCCTCATTCTCTCCCCTCCCCCAGACCTTGTTCAAATGCTAAGAGGTATGTTTAGGACCTATCTTTCTGTGTTTCTCCTGGGTCAAAAAGGCTAAAACATGTCTGTAAACAGCTATATGAACAAGAATAGATTTTCATTTGGTCCTGCAACTTGAAGGAGACACCTATTCTCAAGAGACTTAGGAAAACTATGCAGTCTGGCAATGCTGCTCCTTTGGTCCTGAATCATAGAATGATTGAGTTGGAAGGGACTTTAAGAGCCATCTGATTCCAATCACCCTGCCAAGGGCAGGGACACCTTCCACTAGAAAAGGTTGCTCAAAGCCCCATCCAACCTGACCTTGAACACTTCTAATGATGGAGCATTCACAACTTCCCTGAGCAACCTGTTCTAATGTTTCACCATCCTCATAGTGAGGAATTTATTCCTCAGATCTCATCTTAATCTCCTGTCTGTAAGTTTAAAACCATTCTCTCTTGTCCTGTCCCTGCCTGCCTTTGTCAAAAGCCCCTCTCCAGCATTCTTGTTGGCCCCTTTAGGCACCGCTCTAAAGTCTCCCTGGAGCCTTCTCTCCAGGATGAACAACCCCAGCTTCCTCAGCTTGTCTCCTTAGAAGAAGTGCTCCAGCCCTAGAAACATCTCTGTGGCCCCTGCCTCTATCCCCTGTTAAACCTTCTTCTAAGGCATTTCAATGCATTAGCCAAGCTCTAAGCTCTCCAGGGGCAGAGGATTGAGCCATATGCTGCCAGATGAGATACCAAAATGACTCAGACTTGGGTTCAAGGGACAGGAGTTAGGATAGAGCAGAGAATCACAGCTGAAAACCATAGAGCAGCTTAGGAGTTGTTGGCTACGAGAACACTTTTGACTGTTCAATAGCACTTTTTCCCATGCATCTGATTTTCTTGCTCTGGATATTCCAATCTTTAGGCAATGCTGCCTTACTCATCCTTTCATCCTGGCTGTCAAAAGTTAAAAGAAAGCCACAAGAACATTTTCTTTACAACACAGATGCACTCATGATATTAGACTTACTTGGATCTGGCTCAGCAAAACTTTTTCTTTAACAAACAGTCTCAACACCTGATCCAGAAATACCGTGGGACATTGGGATTGCTAAAGTAATTAGCAATCATGAATGCCAACTTCTTGGAATCTGAATGTCCCTAGGCAGAGAAATAAGTGGCTTCATTTTCAGACGTGCTGTGGTACAGGCTGTAGGCATTCGTAACAGGTGGGAGCTAATGCTAGTGAAGCAGTCACTACTTTGGAGTGGATTTAGATCCCTTGCGCTGGGAGAAATGTGGCCAGAGATACGTCTGTAAAACACTCAATGGTGCAAAGCTGAGCAGTCACAGATTTGCAGAATTTGAAACCTGTGAGGCACAAGATGAAGAGAAGGTCTAAAAGGAATAGGAAAATGCATGTAAGCCAATCATAACAGTGAATTCAAAATAGGATTAGACAAATTAATAAAGAAAAATATCCATCAGTAGCTGTTAAAAAATGTAGCTTGGATGCAAACTTTCTGATGCAGAAATTTTCAGTGATCAGCAATCTTAAACTGCTGATCACCAAAAGCTGGAAAGTGACATCTGTAAAAGCTGTCTCTTTCCCTAAACATCCTAAACTAGCAGCTTCTAAGGATTGTCTGTTTTGACAGAAGATTGACTGAATAAGGCTGTTTTCATATAAACCTATAGGCTATTTTTCTAAATCCAAAGAAAGCTTGTGCATTCTGAGCATGCAGGAACATAAACATACATCCAGGGTTTGGTCTGATTTTACATGTTCAGCACAATCTGCATTCTCTACACCTGCTGCTCAGGACCATGAAGCAGTAGATAAGAGGTACTAGAAGTGCTTCATTTGGCTGAGCACTGCAGCCACAACTTGCAAAGGCTTACATATTCAATATTTCACTCACCTTTAACAAAAAAAACCTGCTATAAGCCTACTTATCTGCAGCCCCAAATTTTTCACTCTGTAGCTACTGATTAACCAACAGAAAAGAACAAACACCACATGTACTTATCAATACAATGCCTGCCTTGTCGGCCAACTGGAAATATTCAGGATAAGATTTACCAGTCTGAAGTATCTACCAGAGTTCCCCTTATAGTCACCAAGTATTTAGAAACACAGATCAGCTGAAATTCATTCCATCCTCAAACCACCACCTAAAATAAATCAGATCAGCTGTGGGGATTCTCTCTCCTCTCCCCCTT